CAAGCTAACTAATATAATAATAATAATAATAATAATAATAATAATAATAATAATAATAATAATAATAATAATAATAATAATAATAATAATTCTGAATCAATATTTGATATACAAAATCATTGAAATTAAACAATTAGATAATTTAGATATTCAAATTACTAAACTAATTGATGTAATAATTTTTGTATATCCAATTATATTTTTTATTTATACTAATAGCATTTTAAATTTTTAACTAAGTTTTGAGAGTTAAAATAAAAAGAATAAAGAAAATAAAAATGATCGGTTTAACCAGTCGGTCTTTGGCCAGTTTCAGTCGGTTGAACTGATTTTTGACCGGTTAGCTGACAACGATTCGTTTGAGCGAACCTATCCTATAATAGCTAAGAAATCAAAGTTTTAAAGACTTGATTGTTTATGAAATAATTTGTTCAAAATGAGTTATTTTGGTTAATCATAAGTAATTTTAAAAAAGTAGTATAGTTTAGTAGAATTTTAAGAATATATTAAAATAATATTTAAAATAAAATAATTAAAATTGATTTGATGTAAAAGTAAGAGATAAATGATTGAAAATGATTGAAAATGATAGGTAGTTAAAAATATGTGAGTGGATGAATAGTAAATTAAAGTTGATGTGATATATAAGAATGATTAGTTTGTATTATTTAATTATATGAATAATATTAAAGATAGTAGAGTTGAATTAAGGTTGAGTTAAATTTTGAGTTGAAATAAAAGTGAGTAAATTAATCCATAAACAAGCAAGCCCTAAATGTTTGCAGACACTCTCATCAACCTTAAAAATTATTTGCCACATGACGGTAAATAATTGGAGTGTGAATTCAAATGAAAGCATTGTTCACCGACTAACTAATATTACCAATTCCAAGCATACTTTCATTCACAAATATATTTACTATTAAAATAAACAAATAAATTATAAAATAGATTTTAGAAAATAAAATGATAAATTAGTTTTTAAAAGACTATGTAACTTCATTCAAGGGCGAAACCACACTGCCACTCGAAGAGGCGCCGGCCTTTCCCAAAAAAAAAAAAAAATTCGAACTAGGGGTAGGGGGTTTTGCTGAAACTGGAAGGGCGCCTTTTGAGCGCTCTTTTGATGTCGGAGTGGGGCTGGTGCGCCGCAGGATGGCCGGAGGGGCGCCACCGAAAATTTGGAATCCAAACACACAGAGCAGCTGAGCAGGAAGGCATGGAGCCATGGAAGGAAAGCTGGATCGTAGAAAATTTGTGTTTGTGTTTGGTTTTGTCGTGAATTTTTTTTTAAAGGCAAATTGGGCCCTCCCCGAAACGGGATCCTGGTTTCGCCACTGACTTCATTGGATAAAGAACATATCGACACTCCATTGGAGAAAAGCATATAATAAAACCATATAAATAATAAAGCTGAATATTAACACATCAAAGAGAAATAAATAAAATTAAATAAATAATAAAAAAATATAATAAAAGTAAATAAATAATAATATACAAAAACGTGTGTAATCTAATAAAATTGAAAGAGACTCAACGGGATCGATTGGTGTAGATTGTGTTGATGGTGATTGTGTTAGTTATTTGGTGTTCATCTCGTGTTACTACAAGAGCATCAAAAATTGAAAAAACGTGAGAAACATAGTCTGATGTGATTGATGTTCATTGTGTTAGTTATTTGGAAATACAAGGAAAAGTAACCGTGTAAGAAATATTAAATTTTTTATTTTGAATTAAAAGAATTGACATTTATATCCAAAAAAATAAATAATAAAGTGCATAGACTATATTATGTTCGTGCTTTTCTGAAAGTTTTATATTAAAATGATATGATAAAAGAATGTTCATGACATTAATAAATATAATAAAAATAAAATTTATATATTATTGAACACTTCCTTATATAAATAGTTTGATTATTTGGCACGTCGTCATTGCCACAAATTAAGATTTTCACCCACATTTTGAGTTAGTGACACGGAAGACAATAACATACAACTGGCTATGAGTAATCAATAATTTCTTAAAAAAAAAGCCGACATGAGAAAGGGAAAGGGAGACAACAACATACAATTGTCTATGATTGATCAATGATTTCTTAAGAAACAAATTTCTTAAGAAATAAACCAACTTGCGATAATTATTGTTCGCCTAAAAAACCATAATGAGTCAATTTCTTAAGAAATAAGCCAACATCCGATAAGGATTGTCCTTGCCATGGCATAATAAACCATAATGAGGAATTGCCAAAAAGAATTGGTATCGGTCTCGTAGCACAAATTTTTAAAATATTGAATTTGTAATTACTAAAAAATATTAACACAAAAGAAAACAAGTAATAAAGTATCTTAATTTTTTATAATGTTAAATCTATAATTACTAAAAAATATTAAAATTGTAGTACGAGATTAATTGTATAGTCGCGACATTCTCCACTTTTTTAGTATAAAATATGTAAGAATTTGTACCGATTTTACGGTTCCACTTTCTGTACGTGGAAGACTTAGAAAATTTTCAAACCATTTTAAGGTGAATGAGAAATTAATTTTATGTTGTATATGTGAGAAATGTAAGGTTGATACAATGTATATGTGAGAAATGTAAGGTTGATACAATGAGTTTAAGTAACTCAAATTATTTGATTTGTAAAACATTATGTTTTGACAAATGTTTGTACAAACTAAACGAGTCATAATCATGCATTATGTATGCTAGAATTATAGAAGGACTCGTTGGGGACAAGTAAGAAAAAACAGAACTCGATTTCGAGTCCGTATGAGCTCGTACGAGCCCGCGGCGCACAAACGCGCAACTGGCTGCGGAAATCAAAGGGTCGCAACCCTTGATGACCACAAGGTATCTTTTGGCCACTAGATGCATCCGTTCTCGTTCGGGCACGTCCCAAAAAGTGTGTTGACACTTAAACCTCTTGGAGGTGTTTCTTTACATCTATAAATACCCACATACATGAAATCATAAAAAAAATCAAAAATAGAGAGCTCTTGCATTATTTTTCAAAGATCATATAGCATATTGTGTTCTTTGATTTTTTTCATTGAGTCTTGAGAGTTCCAAACAATAGTAGTGTTCGCCGAAAGCTTGTATATTTAAAGTACCGCTATATACAAGTCGAAAGTCGTTGTATCTTGAAGCCGTTTGTCATTAACCGTGGGTATTTTACGGGGCAGTTTCGTCTTACAAAAAACGTAATTATTACGTGCCTCAACTTTGATTTTTTGTTTCGTTTTCTTCATTATCCTTAAGCCTTCTTTTTTATATTCACAAGCCACAAACAGGCTCCAAAATAAACTATATTTGCCCTTTTTTAGTCGTGAATAGACCACGTTTGCCACAACTTTTTCTGATTTTTAGTCGTTTTCCCACAATATTTGATGATGTATCATGTAAAAAATGGAGTTATGGCCATGCATCAAGTTTTATGGTTTTTAATCTTGTGGTGCGTTTTTGCTAGTATTATCTAGGCTACAGTCGTGTATGTCTCTGTATTCAGCTTCTAGATGCTGCAGTTAGCTAATTAGCCGCTTGTAAATATGTATTTTAAATTTTTAATTAATGAATTCTATCGTTTCGAAAAAAAAAAACCTACAAAATAGCCTGTTTAAAAATAATATAGATGCTGTTGTAAATATTAAGTTGTGGACATTACCTAGATATAGGATTTGTAGGCATGGGCCAGGAGCCCATTAGGTATTTACTCATGTACATTATATTCCCTTATATAGGGCTCAAGTGAATGAATAAGATGAAGAGGTTTAACGGCGTATCTATTTTCCCTTATTCTCTTCTTCTTCTACTGTTTCTATCTTTGTCTATTTTACACATAGATTTTACATATTGTTAATCTATATTACAACAGATGCGTCTACCTAAATGACAAGGCATTTAAATTTTACATGTCAACCATTCCCATTGGAGATGCTTTAACTAACTGCACCTAAATGACATGACATTTAATTTTTATCTATCAATATTCAATAGTTCCCTTTGGAGATGCTCTAACCAACTGTATAACTTGCATGCCCAAACAAAAGCAGCAAAGTCATTAGAGAATAATATGATTTGAGTTTTTCTTTTCCATACTAACATGAGTACAAAGCAAAGAACACCTGAAAACCAGTAAAATCCTACAAGCACTACAGTCTACAAACACATTCAATACATCGGCACATAGCCGAAGTTACAAAAGACTAAACAAATTCATAGACGAAATCACGTTTCCGGTTTAGATACCTGAAGATAAACCATCTGTGTATACCCGTTAAAAACAGAAATATCGAACTGTGATAACCCAAGCCTTCGAAATAAACCATACCTACCATCTTCAATAATCGGCCTTGGGGCACGGGCTGGGTCATATCTCGTCTGATGAGTGAGAGATGGGCCAGCCACTGGGGGTAACTCCCAGTACATGTCCAGAACCGACTCAACAAATCTGCTGTTCTGAAAATGTTCACTGTAGCTAATCGGTTTGTTACTGTGGTAAAAGTCGTCCCGCATTTGACCCCTCACACCCCACCATGCTTCATGGGGCCCACACAGCTCGTTTATGTCGACTGCTTTTTCCCAGAATTTTCTACGCCTTTGTCTTATCCTGGCCTCGTCACTGTCTTTGAAGCAGCTGTGTCCGCCACCTGAATAATAATATGTATGTATTGAACCCCCCCCCAAAAAAAGGCATAAAGATTAATGCTTGATGTGCTGCTAGTATGAACTGATTTAAGTTTTAAGTTTTCCCATCATGTAAAGATTGCAAATGTTTCTCTCTTCACCACCCTTCATTTTACTTAGTAGTGACAAATGAAAAAAAAAAGTCTAAACAGTAAAAAGTTGAAAATGTAAAAGTTCGAAAAAGAAAATCAATGTGATTGATTCGTATCACAGCTCCTCGTGATTTGTTCATAGTAAGTTAGTGGATTCATCAATTTTGACTTAAATGTTACAAAAGTAAAATGTCAATACATAATCGAGACCAAGCTTCATTTTCAGCATTAAACTGATAAATTACATGGGCATTCATTCAGCTGTTTAAAAAATTGACAGATTTGTGCCGGTATTCAGTCAGGAAACTATTGCATATAAAATTAATTTCAAAATTGGAAAAACCTCATCCAAAAGAAAGGGACATAAGGAACATAAAAAAAAATGGGGCATTTAAAAGGCAGTAGATTGAGAATACAATGCAGGTGGTTAAAGATCCATAGCGCATAAATTCTTGATTAAACGTATTTTGCCATGTTTAAAATCAACCAATAATTTACAAATATTTACGCGACAGCACACAAGCATACATGTTGGCTGAGATACACAGGTGGTGCAAAATAAAAGATAACATACCTCTTATATAAAATTGATCACAAATTTGCCTGAACGAATAATGGTCTCCAGTTCCAGTATCATAATTATCCTCAAAAACTAAATGATGGAAACCTGCTTTCAGAGCTTGCTTTAATCTTCACATCAGCACATAAAGCCAAAAAACATAAAGAGAACTATTAGAATCTGATAAAATGAGCAAAAAATGAAGAAATCATGGATACTTGACAACAAACAACCTATTCTTTGAGATTATTGCCAACCAACTAAACCAAATAAGTAAGCAATCTTCATTTTAAAAGAACCATAAGTCTACCTTTTTAGTTCATTTTGGTGGTCATCAAAGAAGACAAGAACCCGATTACGGTCTTTAATCCCGTGTTTTCTCATCACCCTTTCCCAATCCATGCTACCAAAATCGACAAAATCCTTCCCAGCGAAGTATGTGCAATTTCCATCGACATAAGCGGGCCCCTTCTTCAGGTATTTCTCTGGATGACGTGGCGAAAGTGAGACAATGGGTGTATCGGGCATTGCTTGCCTCAAGACCCAAGTCGAGTGACCTTTAAAAGCACCACTCTCAATCATCAGCTCCGGCTGTAACCATCTTGTGATAAACCAAAGCCCAAAACTGTGGTCGAATCCCATCCCGTACATGTTGTTCTGAATGGGCCGAGTTTCGTATATAGGCACAAACTCCTCAAGACCTCTGAGCAAATCCTTTGACGTCCATTCCACAGTTTTACCGTGTTTCGATCTGCCTTTTGACAAGGATAGCTAGTGTATGAGTATATCAGCAGGATCTCATATCAATATCAACATTCCAAACCAGTCATACTAACTTCTCAAATGAACAAAAAGAACAAAATAAATGAATAAATGAAGGATTGAGAATTTCATAAGCATGTATCTGCTAAGCCGAAACAAATTTGCCTGACCCACAAAGCTACAGAGCAACAATAATAACAAGCAACTAAATCAAATTCTCTCATGGCCAAATTTCAGAATACTTTTCACACAGTATTTCATTACATCAACTTCTTATAATCTGACTGGTACTCATCTAGCCACTAGCTCCACTACCAAGAAAAAACAAAGAAAGTTACAAACAAACCATGGATTACTATAAGAACCCTAAAACCATGAAATGGGTAAATAGATAAACCTTGTTTTCTCCAACCCAAATACTATTTAAAATAAAAGGGAAACTTACACCAGGGAACACCAAGGGATCCGAAATCCGATTCCAGCTCATCAAACCCAAAGAACTTTAACCTCGATACGTGATCGGCGGACGAGGCCGAGATGCAGACCAAATCTCGAGAGTGGATAATTACAGTCGCGATGGCAACGACGATCAGCCCGATTAGAAGGATGGGCCACAGATATCCGGTTCGGGTCAAGTAATTGGCGATCCGCACGACCGCGGGCATTTGCTTCCGCATCTTGGACTCGTCGCCGTCTTCGCCGCCGCCGTCTTCCGCTGGCCCGACGCCCTCGATGGCGTGCGGCGACCGCCGCGTAGAGTGGGCCCTTTCGAGCATTTTCTTAGCTAGCTCGCCGCGTGCGCGATGCGGTTTGCAGAGTTTGCCGCTTTAAGCTGCACAGTGAACTTCACTGGAATTCGGGGGGATGATTAATTTATGGAAATATCACTTCTGGCCCCATTAATTGAGTTATTACTTATCTGCTCCCTTGATATATATATAATGGGGAGACTCTATGGTCCGTTACGGAACCATTATGTCGGGATTTGTAATCGTTAGATCAACTATCCACGACGGTTACATGATGATTTAACAATTACAAATTTTGACAGAATAGTTTCGTAACGAGACTGTAGCATGCGCCTTTTGTCTTGTATAATATAAAAAATTCTTGATTTGTTCTGTGACGTCAAAGGAATTTTAAAATATCACGTGGCAAGTGAGTAGTAATTAAAATAAACTTTACGAAGCGCAGTGACGGCATATGTGATGAATTTTACACAGGTTTAATTTTGGATGATTGGTGAAGAATGTATTGAGATTGAAACAATGGTTTGTAGTAATTTTTCATACTTCTTACCTCAGCCAATTTTCATCATTGAAACTTAAAATGATTTTTTTTTTTTATATATATAACTTCAGCAATTTTTTTCTCTACCAATCTTACAAAAAAAAAAAAAAAAAACTACTAATAAGAAAATTATTATATATCTTTCTAATACAAAAATATCATTTATCTGTTCTCATATTTTTAACTACTAGTATTATATATTAATATTTTATTATTTTTATAGTATATCAACTATGATCTTTATATTTTTTTTTCATCTCATATGTATTAGAAATTTATCTCATTTTTTATCTACAAATAACTATTCAATTTTATGTTTCTTTTACAGAACCTAATCACGGTAATTGCTGATTATCTCTATTGGAAAAAAAAGGGTTGCCATTTGAATTTATATGATTTTGCTGGATAAAAAAAGTACAATTGGATAAAGTTTAGTTTTAATTTTTATTAATATTATTTACTTATGTCACTTGTCTTCTCATTTTTCTTTTAATATATTTTTAATTAAATTTAAATGATTCGACTAACTCCTTTTCTTGAATAAAAAAATTTTGACTTAAACAAAATAAAAAAAACGCTAGAGGAAGGGCTTGAACCTTCGACCTTGTGGTTAACAGCCACACGCTCTAACCAACTGAGCTACTCCAGCTTGCTTGTTAATTATGTTTAATTACTCAACAAGTTCGTAACAAACATTTTCCATCCAGCAACTTCATTTTCTTTTCAAAAAATAAACAATTCACTTTAGTAGGTAAAAGTGCATTTAATTCTTGTTTCCTTATCATAACCCTTGATAAAACAAATTTTCACATCACATCTATTTTTAACAATTTATGAGAGTCTAGTGCAAGAGATTCCATACTTTCTATAACTTAGGATGCAAACTAAACAGTTATGCTCCCGTACTCACGGTGGACACATGTTAATATGTTCACCGTTTATGTGGCATGCACACATTGTTGATGTTAATATATTCATAAAAAATACATCATCAATGTGTGCATACCACATAAATGGTGGGCATATTAACATGTGTCCACCATAGGTAAGAGAACATATGACAAACTATCATTTTTTTCCTTTAACTCTGAAAATTAAAAATGAAATTATTGAAATGTGGGCAGAAAGAGTATGAAATGTTCCCCTACCCACGGTGGGCACATGTTAATATGCCCACCACGTAGGTGGCATGCACTCATTGGTGATGGTCATATGTATAAAAAATACATCACCAATGAGTGCATGCCACCTACGCGGTGGGAATATTAACATGTGTCCACCGTGGGTAGGTGAGCATTTCTCACAGAAAGAGTTCTAAATTAGAACATAAAATCTGTCATACTTACCAATAAATAAATAAAAGGCAAGAGCATGGAAAAAAAAATTGAAATATATACATATACCAATTCAAAACAAAATACTTCTCAGCACAAGTGCACAACCCCCTAAAAAAAGCAAGATTCAGAACTAAGAAGCAGCTGCAGTGGCCAACTCAACATCCTCAGATTCATCAACAATCATTTCATCCTTAAACAACAATTTCAAGTGTGGCACCACTCTTGGAAGAACATGAATATCGGCCAAGTTCACACTCATCAGATCGAAAGCAATGCACGTGTTGTGCGTGTGGCTTTGGTCAAACACCGGGATCTTTGGGTATCTTTGACTGAAATGCGTGAGTATGATTCTATATGCTCCCGCAGAATCTCCAACCTCAACAGCTTCCTTAGTCGTGCTGTGGTTTCTAGCAATGGCCTCGTCAATCATACCATCTTCAAAAGTCGCCTGCAAAAATATAGTGTCCCACAACAAAAAACTTAATTCATTTTGTTGAAATTGTAACTTTCGAAATATTTTTGCCTAAGTTGACCTTATGATAAAAGCTTAAGGCTGTGTTTGGTAAGCATTAAAGATAGTTTATGACTTATTTGATTAGCTTATAAGCTTCCTGTATTCAAATAAGTTTAGTTTGGTAGGACGAACTTTTTTTAAAAAGCTCGAGCTTATCTCATAAGCTTACTTCGGTAGCTATTCAAATAAGCCCATTGAACTTTCCATTTCAGCTAACTTATCCGCCAATTTTACCAAACACTACTTTTATCATATAAGCTAGTTTTTTAGCCATAAGTCATAAGCCATCAGCTATAAGCTCAAAATTCACGTAAAAGCTATAAGCTATCTTATCAACTAGGTTTACCAAACATAGCCTAAATTACTCTTGAAAAAGTGCATTCAATTTGAAATAAATATATAAATCTGCAACTTGCCTCATGTATGAGAACAGTCGCCCCACGAGAAGCCTCGACAAGCTCTGGGCATGGCCTTGTGTCCCCTGAATACACAATCTTCCAACCGGGTATCGTTTTTCCATCCCCGCTGACCCGATCTGCCCCTTTCAACACAACTCCAAACGCTTGTGGGCAATGAACAACCGGAAAACTAATCAAACCTTCCAAACCAGCCTCCAAAAGCACATTTCTCAACGACTTCACGTCCAGAATCTGAGTCGGGCTACCTGGCGTCTTCCAATAGCTCTCCATTCGGCTCCCTCTTTCGAACAAATTTGGGCCCGAGTTCAGCCCAGCGGGATCGGTAGAGTCCAAGGACTCGAGCGAGGCTTTTGTGGTGTGCCAACAATCGATAAAACACATGTCGAGGTCCTCGAGCCTCTGATAGGCATCGAGAAACAACTTGAGCTTCTTGGGGCCCACAACATTGATCGGCTCGTGTGGAGATTCTTTCAAAAGGTCCCGCCTTAGGGCGAGGATTCTTGCGAGGCCCGTGTGGTGGTCAGCGTGGATGTGAGAGATCCATATGCATTTCAAGTTTTTTATGGCTTCATCGGCACCTTGGACACCAAATCTGTAGGGGTAGTATGGTAAATATAAATAAAATGAAGGAGGAGGGGTAGTTTTATTAAGTATAGCCTTGAAATTTAGTTTTATCGCTTTAAAGAAACGATATCCTCAAAACTTTTAGTGTTACATATTAATCTCAATTTTTTTTTCTTCTCTCAAGTAGGTGACACCTCAATGATGAATTTTTTTCTTATAAATGTTTCTCAAATAAATAAATAAATAAATAAATAAATAATATATATATAGGTTTTTACCTTCTTTTAAGCTGACCCAGTGTTCCTTCGCCGCAATCCAAAAGCAAACTTCCTCTGGAGAATAAATTGATGAATATCGAACTCACATTACGGTACTTTGAGGGCTGAGAAGATCCAGTGCCGAGAAGAACAATCTCGGCTTCTTCGCGAGTTATATTTTCGAGACAGCTCGGGAGTGAAGTTTCATCCACCCATGGCTCCTCGGTTAATGAATAGTCATTACTATGAAGATCTTTCTTGTTTGACCAGATGTGGCTCACTTGTTTGGAAGCTTCTTTAACCTCTGGAATATCTGTTAGTAACTCATCGATGATTGTTGAAGTAGATGATGGGCTTGGTATGCATGATCGGTCGAGCCCGAGAATGGAATAGGGACGAAGATGGAACTGTTCAACAGAAACATACATTTACTGAATTACTCGAATCTGGGAAAAGGTTTCTAGTAGTGAATGATTTTTATATTTGGATTATTTCTAAGTGATTTGTGGTGTTAGTTTCTTGCCGAATTTCCTCACTCACCATGGATTTATCAAATGTTAATTAAAATAAGAGGGATAGTTACAAAAGGTTAAAATAATAAAGTTGAAAATTACATGTACCCCTTTGTTTTTGTGTAATGACATCCAAAATAGATGCAATTTGCAAAAAGAGAGTACTATTTACGTGCACGCAATGGACCAACAGTAAGATAGCTAACAGCAAGAAGAAAAATGACGTGGAAGCATATTCTTGCAATTTATTCCTCGAGTGGACCTCTCATAGTCTCATACCTTAAGAAGATTCTCTGCATGAATCAGTTGATTGGGTCTTGACATGAGATTCTGAAAGGACACAACATAACCAAGATAATCAATATAATATAATGAGGGGAAAAAAAGGCATTTGTTTGCTCAAAATCATGAAAATAAACCCAAAACAACTAGAAAAATTAGAGAAACACCTTATGAGAGTCAGATATCAGGCTTGCCGAGTTCTGAAGAGGCCAAATACCAGGCGAAGGGAAAAACTGGGGACACAGATAGTTAAGACGTGTTGCAATTCTAGCACTTGCCTTTAGTATTGGCACCTCGATATTCTTCCTGGGAAAGTAATAGAAAAAATAAATAAAAATTATAAAAGAAGAGTAAAGAAAAGAAAGGAAAGGAGGAAAACCAACATTTCATGCCCCGCCATAATATGCTGAGCCGCACCGAATTTCAACATCCACATTTGATAATCATCTGTCTGTGCAATGCATGCTGGAGTTAAATGAATTACACAGTTCACAAGTTTGGAACCTTCTGGTACATCATAACCTGTATCTATAAAATATGGCTCGAGACACTGTAGAGATGACAACTCCTTAAAATGCGAAAGTGTCGGGCAGTCAACCAGAAGTACAATGGGCCCAGGAACGGAAGGGCCCATTACGTCACTTGGGTGCACCTGAAAGCATTCACAAGTGCAAGTGAAATAAGCAAAGAAAGTTCATGGTTCATTGTGGTTTTTCCTTTTAGGATCTATTTTCAGTTCGAAAAATTTTAAAGAGTTTAAAGAGGTTATATTATATTGCCATTTGTATAAGGAGGTAACTATATTTCTGCATTTATTACCAAAAGACCATACAGTTTTAATAAAATAATAAAATATATTAAAAAACTGATGTTTGATTGCTTTATAAGAGGATAACTATATTCTTATTCAGCCCCGATTACTGATATAAGTTTCTAGTGAAAACCCAGCAAAACAAAAATAACTTTAGTAAAACCAAAGAGATGATTTTGAAAATAACACCAAAGAAGCCCTGTGACCGATCAACAACTTACCATGATATCCTGACGATCAGACTTAACAGAATTCCCAAGTTGCAGCTCACGAAACTTCGGGCCCGGCCTCAGTCCAAAAGCAGCAGCTTTTTTCGGGTCAAATTTTCCCTTTATTTCCGGCAATTCACAAATATAAACAACAGAAAGATCTCCAGGTTTAGTCTCATTATCAAAAGCTTTAGGAGAACCAGACTCGGTGGATTTTTCTTTCGTCGGCTCAAGAAAATCAACATAACTTGGTTTTATGATAACAGCTGATATTTTCACGACTTCATCATCAATGAGAACAAAAGGGTCATCAAACTTCCTTGAAATTCCTATAGGAGATCCATTAAAATCGGGCGTATGGCCAAAACTGCGTGTATGAACCATAGCAGCATTGGGGATGAATGATCTCATTGCATTCACTAGGTACTTCAAATCGGAGGGACCCCACACATTGACCTATACGGCCAAAATAAATAAGTAAAGCTTAAAGTTATATTAAATCTTTTTTTTTTTTTTTGGCTATAGCAAGAACAACAAAAATAGTTATAAGTTGAATAAATAAGTAAACTGAAATTAAACACTTACAGTCATTCCAATTCCTTCATCCCCCATGCCTGCCAGAGTCAATAAGAGACCTGCAGCAATAAAATATGTTTTAGGAAGAACATCGAATATTTATGTAAATCTCCAGTTAAACAATAAATTACGGGAGGAAATGACAGGATACCCGGAAGTCCACCAGCAGTTTCTGAACATACACGTGAGAGAAATATGTGATCAATCTGAAGAAATTTTACAGTGCATGAGTGGGATACTCTAGCCGTATAATAAATAAATAAATAAGTAAATAGTAAAAACCATAGCACACGGCTGCTTATGCAATGTACCTTTGACAGTTTAATTTTATGCTCATTGCAGAAACGTTGAAGTCCCTGAAGAAAAGGATTTCACACTATTAAATATGATCACAATCTCGAATTAAATTTTATACTAAAAATTTTTAAATCCATAAACCATCTATGGAACATAAATTCTCCACCAACTTCATATGACCACAACTCCAAATATTTTGTTCTTTTAAGTTCAAACTGAACAATTACGAAATCATGAAAGTTTCTTTAACCACTGAGGTAAATATTATTCATAAAAAGTAGCGTGCAAAATTGAATAAAAAGCAAGTACAACTCACTTCTCCAGCGTTAAATATAATTCGTTGCTTGTCAAAAAATAGCAGTACTGATGGTGATGTGTCCTGTGTATCCATACCAGTACCAAGTATCTGCAAGATAAGCATAGAAATATAACTTTAAGCATTAGGGGGAAAAAGATCAACTTCCATATATAGGATCATGTTAGAACATCTTAGAACCAACGGCTGAACCACATTTGTTTTTCAAGAACTTCTTGCCAGCCTTTTAAGTGCCAGAATGCAATTTGAGTAAAGAGGTTATGCGCATAAATACTCAGAATTGCACAAACAAATCTCAAAGCGCCTTTTGTGGTTGCCTAAGTCGGCAACAATTTGTACATACTTTTTACCATACTTGGCATCTTATAGTTTATTATAGTACTAGATATATACAGTCTTCTCAAATGCTTTTGTTTGTTTGTTTGTTTTATTTCTTATTATTCCCATTCTGAAATTTCTTCACCATTGTTATTTTCTCCCAATTTAAACACCATACATTCTTGCGGATCAATTATCTCAAAAATACTCAACTAAAAGGTAGAAAACAGGAAATATGAAAAAATCAAATAAGAACTCACATTAAAAACATCAAGTTTAACATGATTCTACATAATCAATAAGCAACATAACATACAGAACAACAAACATTAAAAATAAAAATAAAATTAAATAAGCAAAACATAAGCACTTATCTCCCTTACCTGAACATAAGAAATGGTGTTAGCAGGATTCAACTTTCGAACTTTCAAATGCAAATTCTTTTTGGGCCTCTCACTCCAATCTCTACCCTCTGCCCTTTTCCGATTAAATCCGAAATTTCCACTCTCACCTTTACCACTTCTATCCTTTTCTTCCATAAAATTCACCTTTTCGTTCACGATCTTGGGTAATGGGCTTGGATTTCTACTAACAGGGCGTGAATTTTTGTTGCTTCTGCTGTCTGTATAGTACGGCGTCTTGGAGTATGACGAAAAAGTGGGAAAACTGTAATGGGGTTTGTGGGTCTTGGGCAATAGAGGGAAATAGTTTGAGAAGGAGAGATTTTGCAGGCAGAAAAGCGGCGCGGCGGAGAAAGGGTGGCGATAGCGGTGGTTGGCTGAGGAGAGGAGGAGGCGAATGTTTGTGCTTTGGGGCATTTTTATTGACGCTGAGGATTTTCAAAGGGTTTAAGGAATTAGAAAAAGGTCTCCAACACAAAAACCCATTATCCATTTCGGTCCGGTTTCAAGTTCTCAATCAATTTTTTTTTTTGCACTCTTTATTAGAAAATTGGAGAACGTCTAATAATTCACAAGTGTATTACACGATGCTTGTTAAAAAGTTAATTTTGAATTTTAAAATTAATGAAAAAATATATATTATTATATATTTTAGAATGACCATTTCTTAATTTATGCGTGTCATCCTTGACCAGGGGTCATGCTAATCTTCTTTGTTTCCAATTTTATCCGATGTTTCCAATGTTATTTATTGTTGTTATAAAGATAAATATAATTTTTTTTTTTATACATACAATATGCATGTTAAATCGAAGTTCATCAAGAGGTGGTTAATTTGATATATTATATATGTAAACTGATAAAAAATAAAAAAATTAATAATTTTTAAAATTCATTTACAATTCAATGGTATAAGAAGAAATGACAGTTTTGCTATGGAGTCATCGGATGACTCGACTTATGCAGTCATCCACACTTATTCGCCAACAATGTATTGACATGAGTCCTAAAATAAATAAACTTTGGACATGTATCAATACATTAAGTGCTGGATGACTCCATAAGAAAACTCCGATCGCTATATAGATAATCAACATGATCATAACTAATACATGTAACATGACCGTAAATAATCAAAATATTTATAGATAATTCGGACCTAATCCCTCCCTATATATTAATTCAAATTGTGTTGAGCCTAAGTAGCATACTCTCACGCTTCGGATGTTGACAAGGCAAAATTTTATGCTTCGTAATGTTGTATATTAATTTTTGTTCTGGAAGTAGGTTTGGTATTATACATAAATAATTTTTTTTTCAAACTAGTTAAGTGTACATTATTTTTTTTTCTTTTAGTACACATTTCCTTCTTAGTTTGGGTAAATAACAATCTTACCATTTTGTAATTTTCTCTTATATTTCTCTCTTAAATTATGATTTACAAATCACTTGCACTGTCTATTCTTGTTTTTTTTTTTCATTAATTAGTCCATTGAAGTTTTTAAATAAATTTTTTATTTCAATACTAAATTTTATATATCTTTCTTAACTCAATACTCGTGTAGTACACGGGTATTGTACTAGTTATTTTTGGATATGAAGTAAATTAAAATCTACGCAAGCCTAATAATGAAACATGTAATTTAGCAATTCGGAAGCATGCGAGTCTGCTACTTAAGCTCAACATTCTGAATTAATATATAAGGGGTTCTACAAACAATACTGACTTTTGCTTGTCAACTATTACACAATTATTTTCCTCAATACTAAAGCAAAATGGTGTCATAAATCTTTATGTCAAAATTTTTTCCTCAGATGGAACAATCAATTTATGCAAAATTAGATTTTTGTTTGGTATGTGATACAACACATAAAATAGCTCGCTTGAACCAGCCATTATCAGCTCAATTTGTAAACCAAAGACTAACTAGGCAGTTGGTTTAGGAGTTTGAGGGCTCATGTAGCTAAGATAACTAGGGTACGTCTAGCTCGGGTACTAGGGAGCTTGGACAACTTAAGAATATCTATAGCTCAGGCACTGAGGAGACGATTGTTTATAGTTTCAACAGTAAAAAAATCAATCAAAACTCAATTCTAACTCAACTTTAACTCAACCCCACTATCTCTCATATTATCAATATAATTAAATAATATCAACCAATCATTTTTACACATCACATCAACTTTAATTCACTATTCATCCACTCACATAATTTTAACTAACCATTACTTCCAATCATTTTTCTCTTACTTTACATCAAATCAACTTTAATTATTTTACTTAAATATTATTTTAATACATCTACTAACAATTAACTATATCACATTTTTCAAAGTTAACTATAGTTAAAAAATAAACCAAATAAAAACTAGTTGAATCCATAAACAATCACACCCTAAGAGGCTCGAACAACTTAGGTATATCTATAGCTCGGGTGTTAAGTAGTTCGGGCAATTTAGGAATGACTATAGCCCATAAATTGAGGAGTTCGGACAATTTTGGGAATAACTATAGATCGGACATTGAGAAGCTCGGAGAAATAAGGTTTGCCAATAGCTCATACATATGATAGCTCGGGCATGATAACATGGTAATTAGCTCGAATAGAAAATGGATCGACTAACATATTAAGTCGAGTCTAGCCTATTAACAACGAACACATGTAGAGTCAAATAATCAAATAGATAAATGATGGGCATACCTACGGATAGTTATTAAATTGTATTATCGGTAATTTTTATGATGTAATATTTTTAATTAGAATATTGAATTCTATGATGAATATACTATTTCAATATATTTTGTTTGATTTTTTTTTTCATTAATTATACGATTGTTAACGTATAAAAAATAATGGAAAAAAAAAACTCAAAACACAATATGGATTAATAATTTTGGAAAAAAAATAAATCCAAAACACATTATTGAGTCATAATTTTTTTTAATATTTAACGTAATTAATTATCTAGACTACCAATAATTTTTTTGCATGTGTTTTTTAAAATATGTTGTCTAAGAAACACTAAAGACTAGAAGATGATATCTTACTTCAAAAACTAAAACATTTGAAATAATACAATTATAAAAAAGTATTTATAGACAAAAACAAGATTCTCTGAATAATACAATGTGTAGAAATTCATGAAATGCAATAAATAAACTGACATAATATTATAAACTGACACATCGATGCCTTTGTACCCAGTGACAGATCCATAAATATTATTCAGGGGGACTCGATTTTAAATGGTAAATAGCGAGCTTGTAGTTAAGTCAAAACACTCATTTCATATAAAAATGTATTTACTATAAATATAAACATTGATACGTGTAGCATCAAGTTTTTAAAATCTTTAGAATCCTTATCACCCTAAAAAATAAAGAGAGAGAGAGAGAGAGAGAGAGAGAGAGAGAGAGAGATAGATAGATAGATAGAGATTTCATGTATTTATAATTTAAGTTCAACATCTATAATTTACGAAAAATAATTTTTTGGTTACAAATTTGATTTAAATTGAACGTTTGCACAACATTGCATAGCATTTTTATTGATAAAATTTTATCAAAATGAACATTAAAAAAAAGTAAATAAATAAAATTGAAAATATGTGATTACAAAAAAAGAAGAGTAAAAAATCAGCATCAAAGAAATTAATATTCTAATTTATATCACTAAAACTTTATAATTAAGAGACCGAAAAAATACATCATTATAAATATTTTCAAAAGTTTATCTAAAAATTTAAAATATAAATATTATTAGTATATTTTTCACTAAATACATAATATTATAAATTTAAATAAAAATAGCATAGAAAATAAGTTTTAACTAGTAATATATTGTCAATATTTTTTGCCTTTTTGTATATACTTTATAGTATTTTCTTTATATGTATATTGATTTTTAACAAATTTTAATTATTAATATATTGTAATTACTTTTATATTTTTTTATATTTTATTGTATATATATATCTCAAAAAAAAAATTAGGGGGGGCCCACGCCCCCTGGCCCCCTTCTAGCTCCGTCATTGTTTGTACCTTGTTGATTGCTTGCAATACTTGTACATTTTATGTCTCGTTGTAGCTTGTCAATGAGATCCGGTGTTCTTTCATTATTGTTTTCTTTCTTCTTCAACACAAGATGTATGTAACTTCCAATAAAACAAACCACCAAATAATTCTTCTAGAAACTATACATGAATCTGCGAAAAATTAATTTGGAGTTTTTCTACAGTTTATACGACAAAACTTTTGTTTTTACATAAAATATGTCGATACCTTTTGAATATATGAGTTTTTTTTTGTTACATACGAAGATATATATGATATGAAAAATGTGAATGAAAGAGATTAGTACCGTATTGTGGATTTTTTTGTCTCCAACAAATAAATCTATACTTTGTATGAGATATATACACAATAGGTGTGTTCAAAAATTTTAATTCAAACATATAAGATAAAGATTGAATATACCAAAAAAATATGCTTTCAATCATTTTTTTAAATGATAGCGCCCCGATTCATTTTAAATAGCATAGTTTAATTCATTCATTTTATTTTATTAAGCTCAACTGTTCTTTTAGTAGAAACTAAGTGGATGTTCTCGTCCATTTAATTTTATTAATAAATAAAGATTAATTATATGTCCCTATTTATTTAATTTTCCTTAATTAAAATTAGTTTAATCATAATTTTTAGTAACTAACTAAAATCCCAACCAAGAAAGAAGAATTAGTATTAATCTAATATAAACCGAGCATATAAATTCGGGTCTTTTGAGTGTTTTTGTTGTGTAATCTATATATATGTATATAAAAGTTTGATTATTTTTAAAATAGTAACTGTTTCTCGTAAAAAAAAAATTATTTACTATATCGGGAAATAAATAAAGTATTTATAGTATAAAGTGGATGAAATTTTGTTGGCATGAAATTTTATTGAGATATTCAATTTTGGGTATGAAGTGATTATAATTGTTTTGGTATAAATTTTTATTAGGATACGTTCTGATTTTATTTTTAGTATTATTGAAAATATAACACATGTACTCAAAATTTTCGTTTAATGTAAAAGTAAAAATAGATGAAAATAATAAAATATAATTTGTTTTAAAACTTAAGAAATCTGTGTCTCTCAGTAATCTATCTTTCATTATTGTACTTAAATATTCCACATCCAACCATACAAACTCAATAATTGTTCCTAACTATTATTATTATTATTATTAGAGAAATGTTATAAGTACATAATTATAATGTACATAAGGGTGTACATAACACTTACATTGAGTGAGGTCGACCAAAAATAATAAATCAAGTAGACTCCACTCCATGTGAGTGTTACATACATCTCTATGTATATTTATTATGTATTTGTAGCGTTTTCCTATTAGTTTTTGTTATTATTAATGAAA